GGGGCGGGGGGGGGAGGGGCGTTGGTGGGCTGGGGGCGGGGCTGGCTGGGGGCGTGCAGATTAAATGCCTCACCCAGCACGGAAGGTAACACATGTCACTGTTATGGTCGTACCCTATTGTATAATGTATGTATACTACTGTTGTAATGTATTGTCCGCTTCAAAATACAGCTCCAGAAACAAACAGCTAAACATGAAGCTGAGATTCCTGTATGAGAAGTGCTTTGCTTTCTGGTGCATATGTAACTGTTGTCAGGGTCTTGTGGTTTATGTACCTTGCCACATTGCATAGATGACTTCACTATTTCCTAGTTCAGCTTCACAGATTCCTGTGTCATCTGTCTACTCAATAAAAGGGGAATCAACACTATGATGCTGCTGATTGATTATCCAATGACGAGGCTGGAAGCAGAGAGGTGACACACAGCACTGCATTGCTGAGGCAGAAAATAGGGGGGGTCATCTGGTTGACAGTATAGAGTGGCAGAAGTGTGTGAGTCACAAGACTGGCTGAGAAGTTTCACAAACCCTTTGGTGGGTCGCTGTGTGCCTGGACCTCTCCATTAGATCAAATCTAAAGGTGCCCATACACCTTACGATTATCGGACAAAACTTTTCGTCCGATGATCGAATAGTCGTACGATTTTCGTACGACAGCCCCATCCTGCCCCGATGATCGCAAGAATCATTTAGCCATAATTCACCAAAAGCACCTGGACGAAATGCGGTAATTGATTTGCCGTATTTTCGTTAGCGCAAGCGCAGTGTACATCGTACGACTTTTGACGGACGGAAACGCCAGCAACCTTACGACAATCGTACGATCTAGCAAAGTTTTCAAACATGCTTGACCGTCAAAAGTCGTACGATTGTACAGTATTGTCTGTCGGACACTGCAATGCACACATACGATTAGCGGACGAAAAGTCGATCGCATACGATTATCGTCCGATAATCGTAAGGTGTATGGGCACCTTTAAGGGGCAAAAGCAGGGTCGGATTTTTGTCCAGGCATGTATTTAGACTCAACTACTTGCTGCTAGTAGCATTCCAGGACCCTTTTGCCGCTTCAGATTTGCTTGAAGCTGAACTCCGGGATAAGCAAATGTTGTCTAAGGGCTTGTTCACACCGAAAGCGTGTGCGTTCCAGAGAGGTAGCTGCTGGAACGCACCGCGATCTCTAAGAAACTTCTCCCCGCATTTGGGGCGGGAGGGGGCGTGGTGGTGCATTGAATTCAATAGCACCGCTTCCACGCCCCACCGCCCGCAGTGCAATCGGACGAATGGCAAAACTTTGCCAGCGTTGCGTTCCACTGCAAACGCAGGGAGAAGTTTCTTATCGATCGCGGTGCGTTCCAGCAGCTACCGCTCTCGAAAGCACACGCATTAGAGCAAGCCCTATTTTTTGCATTTTGCAAAGTCTTGCCACGCGTCCAATCGCACTGCGGGCGGTGGGTCGTGGAAGCGGTGCCATTGAATTCCATGCACCACCACGCCCCCTCCCGCCCCAAAACACAGGGAGAAGTTTCTAAGCGATCACGGTGCGTTCCAGCAGCTACCTCTCTGGAATGCACACACTTTCGGTTTGAAGAAGGCCTAAATATAAGAGGCATGTGTGTTTTGAGGGCTTGTTCACACCAAATGCAGACCAGATCTGCATGAGTTTCTGCACACGCAGTGCAGTGGGTTGTGCCGCATTTTTGCAGCGTTTTTGATGCGTTCCAGACCGTTTTTGTAAAAAAAAAAAAATATATATATATATATATTTTTTTTTTTAAGCCTAGAATGGACTTTCAGTGTGTTCCAGGGTGTTTGCATGCATTTTTGATGCGTTTGCATGCGTTCCAGAACAGAAAAAATAGGGCTTGCTGCAGTTTTTTTACATGCTCTGGAACTGAACGCACCAGTGTGAACTAGAGCCCAAAATACCATCGGAATACATAGGAAGCAGTTTTCATCCGGTCTGTAACTGTCCTGCTCTGCTCCTGGAACGCGCTTGGTGTGAACTAGCCCTGAGTCTTGGAGTGCTTTGTGTATAAAGGTGGCCATACACTTTACAACCATCGCAAGACCTTAGTCTTGCGATGGTTGTAAAGTAATTTAAAAAACGTACGATCTGCCTATCTTGGACAGGCAGATCGTACTTCCGATGACCGCAATGCTGACACCGGTCTGTTCGGCATTTGTCTCCCGAGCATGCCACAAACCAGCTGAAAAGCTGGTTTTCGAACATGCTCCTTAGGCAAAAGACGTGCGACCGTACAGTAAAAACGGTTGCACGCCTTCCATACACTTTGTGATTATCTTACAATCGCGGGATTTCCCGCCATAATCGCACAGTGTATGGGCACCTTTAAACCAGTCACCACTGCTGTCTCTTCTTGAGCAGGATGATTGGTCTTATCACCGCACTCTCCTGTAGTTTTCTGCAGGCAGCCTGTATAGGAACACCTGCTGGGTCCCTCCCACAGCTCTGCTCTCTGCACAGGCTGATGATATTTTTGCTTCTTTTACAAGGTAATACGTGGGTTTGCAAAGGTATTTGGTGTGCATAAACTGTATTTATATCCTTTGTGGGTATTGAAGAATATATTTAAAATATAGTTTTTGTGCCCAGAGTTTAGCTTTAAAGGATATGCTTTAGAAAACTGTGCTTTAAAGGAGAACTATGAGGTGAGTGCTTTTCAATCACCTCATAGTTCTAGCCGACCTGTGACAATGAGACTGTCACAGGTCGGCTCAGTAGATCGAGAGGTGAGCGAACACATACTGGCGTTCGCTCAGCTCTCGATCCTGTCACAGCAGAGAGCCGTGACAGGGGAGGGGCTGGATTCTCCCCTCCCCGATCCGCCAGCGCTGACTGGCGGAACAGACGGTGGAGGGGGCTGGTACAGCTGACTCTGCCTCTAGATAGGCAGAGCCAGCTGTCAGTCACGCAGCTGGGCGGATCCCGGCACAATTGTCAGGATCTGCTTCAGCTGCGGCGTCTCAGTATACCGCGAGCAGCAGCTCGCATTATACTGCGGCGTCTCAGTATACCGCGAGCTACAGCTCGCGGTATACTGAGCCTAGGGTGACGGGAGGACGCAAGTTTGTGTCCTCCCGTTACCCTAAAGAGAACTATGGGGAAAAGCCTTAACCCCATAGTTCTCCTTTTAATAAACACATGTAGGATATAGAAAATAAGAGTACCCAAGACAGTTTATAAACTACTCTCACCTATAATGTATTTTTACTGGAAACAAAAGTAGCCAATGGCATGAAATAATTGTGCGCTTAATTTTAGAATAGAAAATGATGTCTCTGTCCTCCTTTCCAACAGGTTAAAGACAAGATGAGGGGAACTTTATGGCAGTGACTTTGGCAGACACTTATTGCACCTAAAGAGCAGAAAATCATCAGGTAATTAATAATGGAAGTACACGCCTGTCCTCTGAAGTGCCAATGAACTCACATCCTCAGCCCTTTCCTGTTTCTTCTGGTCTTCTCCATCTATCTTGCCTTTGCAGCCGGACATGTGCTGTAACCAGATTGCATCTATTTGCTGTTCTATTTCCAGATAGTCTTCCTGCAAAGCCTATTATTTGTCATTCATGCCGAGTTTATTTTTGGAAAATTTCATAATAATTCTATTTAATTACATTTCCTTGGTGGTAAAATCTATTTCTTCTTGTGAGGTCAGTTATTTGTGTAGCTACCATTGGATACACTTATCCATGTATACTAAAACATTTTTACGTATTTGTCTTTGTATTATTATTATTATCATTATTGAACATCCGCTAATATCCACTATTAATATAGGTAATCTGGTAAATTACAGTTTTGCTTATACAGGAAAGTATTACAAAGAACAATTATGATGTGAAATGTATTATTTCAGTAAAAGCTATATTATTTGTTGCTATGGGCAACCATACTTTTCTTGTTTTTGTTTAACTTATTGAAGTAGCTTACATATGTTGATGGTTTAGTTATATATATATA